TAGGCTGGGGTTCTCAACTCATGTCACACACACACACACACACACACACACACTGCGCAGAGATTGCCACCCACATGGGGCTTAGCAGACAGGATCACACGTAGACCCACAGCCCACATGCTTACACACTCAGTTGTCATTCACACTCAGAACTGCACACTCAGAGAGGGGCACCCTCAAAGCCACCACTCATTCGAAAATAAAAGGACACAGCCCTAGCCAGTTTGGCTCAGTGGATAGAGTGTCAGACTGAAGGGTCCTGGGTTCGATTGTGGTCAAGGGCATGTACCTTAGTTGCAGGTTCCCCTGCCCTGGTTGGGGTGCGTGCAGGAGGCAACCAATTGATGTCTCTCACATCAATGTTTCTGTCTCTCCCTCTCCCACTCTTTCTAAAAAACATCAATGGAAAAATATCCTCGGGTGAGGATTAACAACAACAAAAAGAGACCCAGGATCACACATTCTGTCACACTCCAGCCTCGCGCAGCCATGCTGCGTGCTCACGTGTCACACACAGCGTCACACTCTTCTCCCCCCTCTCCTTTGAGGGGTGGGCCCTGCCCTTGTGCCAGCCCTGCCCACACTAGCCCCAAGACAGCCTGGCCCCCCGCTTTCCAGTCCCTCTGGGCCTTACTCTCCCCACTCTGCCTGAAGGGCTTGCTCTCAATGGGTTTTACACCTCTTGACATTTGTAGCCGACCATTCTGGATCTGGGAGCCATGCAGGCTGCAGAGCAGCATTCCTGACTCCTACCCACTCGATGCTATCAGCCCACCCCAAGTCTTGACAACTACAAATGTCTCCAGACACCGAGTGTGGTGGGGGGGCGGGTAGGGGGAGGCAGAGTCGCCCTGAGGTGAGAACCGCTGTTCTAGAATAGGGGAGGACACATCAGTTTTTATCAGAACGTTCCCATCTGGAAAATGGTACCAATATTGCCCGCCTGCCTGCCTGCCTGCCTGCCCCACAGGCAGTTACCCAGCTGCAAGCAGACCCAGCAGGGCCACGGCAGTGAGCGCCTTGGTAGGTGAAGTCCGCAGAAGCCAACATTTCCAGCAGCTGAGACACCCACCCCGGAGGCCCCTGGCAGGTTAAGGCCCCGGAGCCCAGATTCTTGGCAGCAGAGGTGCCCAGTAGGTGCAGTCCCAGGTAAGTGAGATCAACAACCCAGGTCTCCAGGAGGTGAGATTCCTGGGAGGTGAGGGCGCCAGCACCGTGATACTCCCTCTCCGCATCCCCAGTGGGTGAGGCCCCTGTCAGGTGAGGTTCCTTAAAGCAGAAGCGCTGGCACGTGAGGCCCCAGGCTGGTCGGCCCATGTGAGCCAAGAAGCTATGCTGGTCACTATCTGGTAGGTGGGCTCTGCTACAGCCGCCAGCAGGCCTGGCACAACATCAGGGCCCAGCTGAAGGATCAAGGCGGCAGCATCTCCCGCCAGTGGAAGCAGCTCAGGGAGCCGATGTGGTCTTTGTCCAGGGCCAGCTCCTCGGGGCTCTGGAAGTTGTCCATGCGGACAAAGGTGTGGGGGCGGCAGGAATTGTTCGCTGTTCCTCCTGCTGGGACAAAACGCCATGGGCATGGTCCAGGCCGGCCGGGCATGCTTCCCCAGCTTCTCTGTGATGTAGTTGGGGTGCAAGTTCTGCAAAGCCAGGTCACACTTGTACTGGGACAGGCACTAGGTCGTGAATGCCTGTGGCAGTAGCTTGTGGGAGCGCCCATCCACGTCCACTTTGAGATGAATTTAAAGCATCTGGTTGAATCCTTCCTCCAACCGGACACTACCCTGGCCACCAGCTCGGTCTTAGCTGAGACGTTGACCGGTGCGTTGGCCGGGCCATGGCTCCAGCCAGCCATACCGCCTGAAGATGTCCGAGTCTGTGCAGCAGGACATGGGAGATTGAAGTACCCATTCAGGGCCCTCAGTTGTGGGCAGTGGCCAGGCAGTTTCACGTTAAACCAGACACAGCACTGGCTGGTCGGCCTCAGGGAAGGAGGAAGCTGGGCCTGCGGTCAGCAGCTAGCCTCTAGGATGCACGAGGGCCGCACCCACCTGAGGGTACATGCTGCGGTTGGTGGCCAAGTGGCAGTCAGCTATGCCAGGCCACAGCTCTGAGCAGCGGGGTGCTGAATGTCCATGTCCACAGCAGGAGAAGCAGGAGTGGGTGGGTGGGAGGCCCCCCAAGTGGCCTGGCTGGGTCCCCCCCCCCCAGAGGATACTGGCCCTGCCCACCCATTAGGGGCTGTGGTGAGAGAGGCCATTGTCGACTCAGGGACCACATGGGCTCAGGGGACACAGACAGGTAGGAGAAGCCAAGGCCAAAAGCAGCTGTAACAGCCCCCCCGCCCCCCCCCTCGGAGCTAATGGTGCCAGTGACATCGTGTCTTGGCCCAGTCGAGCGGATCCGTGGGTCAGAGCAGCTGGGAGGAGGGAGAGTGGAGACAGTATCACTGATAAAAATAACCCATGCCGAGGGGGCACACGTGGGCCACCAAGGGTAATATCCCCGAGTCCTGAGGTAGTCACTGGTATGATTCCTGTTTTACAGATGAGAAAACTGAGGCCAATGATGCAGAGTGAGGAAGTGGCGGAGCTGGAATTCCAACGAAGACCGTCTGACCCGAGTCCACTTTCTCCTGGCACTTAGGCAACATGACAGTTTATCTACCCGGGGAGGGTGCCCAGGGAGGGTGGGATGGGTCCCAAAGCTCTCAGGTCCCACCTTGACCCTGCCCTTTCTCAACTTTCCCAGACTCTTCTCTGGTCTGGAGAAGACAGAGTTGGTTACAAGAGGCTTAAATCTGGGGCTCTGTCAGAGAGGGACACAGTGGGATTGGGTTTGAAGGTTAAGTAAGAACTCACCAGGTAGAGTAGGAGTCAGGGGAAGAGTGTTCCTGGCAGAAGGAACAACCAATGCAAAGGCCTGGAGGTGAAAGAGAGCCTGGCCTGTTTGCAGGGAGAGCAAAGAAAGTGCTTAGAGATGCCAGTGTGAACTTGATTTTATATTCACTTGGTGTTTCACAGTCACTAAGTGCTCAAAAATAGCTCCTCTGGGCCTGTCCTGGCTAATTTCCCTCCAATCCCAGTCCTTTCTGTCCCCAGGAGTGGTCATGAAGTCTTCCTAGGAACACAACCACTAAAGAGGAAATCTATGACCTTGGGTCTGCAGCCCTGGAGCTGCCCATTTCACAGGTGAGAAAACTGAGGCCCAGAGAGACAACTGTCTATTGCCTGAGTACACACAGCTAGAGCCATTATGATCAAGAACCTCAACTCTCCCCTCTGAATGTAACCCTAAACTTCCCTCCCACTTAGTAAGTGGAGCTCAAATCTACAGCCTGGCACTGTCTGATAGAACTTTCTGTGATCAGGGAATTGTTCTACCTCGCACCATCCCACTGGCCACTAGCCCAGTATGGCTACTGAGCCCTTGAAATGTGGCTGTGGTGTCCCAGGAATGGAGTTAATGCTCATTTACATTTAAAGACAGATATTCTCTTCTGTAAAGTGAAAACAACTTCAAATAAAAAGTGAAAACAAACCAAAAATAATGTCTGGTTCCCAATTCAATGATTGGAAAATATGTAAGAACATTTGGAACACCCGGGATGTGAAAATCTGCTTTTCCACCGTATGTTTTATGGAGTCTAAGTACAGATCAAGTATCTAAAATGAAAAGTGGGTGTCAGCATTAGGTGAGCTGCCATAAAATACACATCAGATTTCCAAGACTTAGGATGAAAAAGAGAATAAAAATATCTCAATAATTTTTATATTGATCACACATCCAAATAATACTAGCTTAGATCTATTGGGTTAAAGAAAGTATATTATTAAATTAATTTCATAAAATATACTCTAGATTGCCAAAATTTCATATGAAAATGTAGCTGCTAGGAAAATATTAACTATACGTGTAGCTTGCATTGTACCTCTATTGGACAGAGTTCATTGCTCTAGAATTTTTTAGAAATATATTTTTATTGATTTCAGAGAGGAAGTGAGAGGAAGAGACAGATGGAAACATCAGTGATGGGAGAGAATCATCGAATGGCTGTCTCCTGCATGCCCCATGACTGACAATCAGACTGAGACCTCCTGGTTCATAAGTCAACACTCAACCACTGAGCTACGCTGGTCAGGCACTCTAGAATTTTTAAGAAACAAATTATTTATATGAATCATAATTTATTTAAAACTGATCTGACAGTATTCTTTCACTTTTTTAATATATATATTTTTCCCATCACCATTTATCCTCACTCTATTCTCCTCCACCTCCACCCACACCGCTCCCCTCCGCAGTCACCGCACTGCCCTGTGTCCATGAGTTCTTGCTCTTTCTTTTTTGCTCAATCCCTCCAACCCTCTCAGGCCCTCTCCTCCAGAGCTGTCAGCCTATTCTCTCTCTATGAATCTGTTTTTATCTCGCTTGTTAGTTCAGTTTGTTCATTAGATTCCACATATGAGTGAAATCATACGAGTGAAATCCACATATGAGTGAAATCATATAGTACTTTTTCTCTGACTGGCTAATTTCACTTAGTATACTGTTCTCCAGGTCCATCCATGCTGTCACAAAGGGTAAAATTTTCTAATTTTCTCCTTTTTTTTTTAATGACTGAGTAGTATCCCATTGTGTAAATGAACCATAGCTATTTTATCCACTCATCTATTGATGGACACTTGATGGAATTGCTGGGTCATAAGGCAGTTCCATTTTAAAATTTTTTTAAATCCTCACCTAAGGATATTTTTCTATTGATTTTTAGAGAGAGTGGAAGGGATGGGGAGAGACAGAGAGAAACATCTATGTGAGAGAGACACATCTATTGGGTGCCTCCTGCACTCGCCCTGACAGGGGCCAGGGATAGAGCCTGCAACCCAGGCACGTGCCCTTGACCGGAATTGAACCCACGACCCTTCAGTCCCTGGACTGATGCTCTATCCACTGAGCCAAATTGGCTAGGGCCATTTTTAAATTTTTGTGTGTCTCCATGTGGCTTTCCACAGTGGCTGCACCAATCTACATTCCCACCAACAGTGCACAAGGGTTCCCCTTTTTCCACATCCTTCCCAACATTGTTGGTTTATTGATGAGAGCTATTCTGGCAGGTGTAAGGTGATATCTCATTGTGGTTTTAATTTGCATTTCTCTGAGGATCTGTCACGTTGAGCATCTTTTCATCTGTCTATTGGCCATCTGTATGTCCTCTTTGAAGAAGTGTCTATTCAGGTCCTTAGCCCATTTTTTAAATAAACATTTAAAAATGTTTGTATTGATTTCCAGAAAGAAAAGGTAAAAGACAGAAGGAAACTTCAATGTGAGAGAAACACCATCTATTGGTTGCCTCCTGCACTCGCCCTGACAGGGGCCAGGGATAGAGCCTGCAACCCAGGCACGTGCCCTTGACTGGAATTGAACCCAGGACCCTTCAGTCCCTGGACCGATGCTGTATCCACTGAGCCAAATTGGCTAGGGCCATTTTTAAATTTTTGTGTGTCTCCATGTGGCTTTCCACTGGCTGCAACGCTTTAGGAAACAACAAGAAATATTTAAGAAATTTTCTAATGTCAAAAAAATCACTTCCCCCCCAATATCAAAGTAAACATTAAAGCATTTGAAACTTTAGTACATAGAAATATACTTTAAACTTTCTAAATGAGAGTACCAATGCTCAAAAGAGAATGTCATGTAGGTTAACTAGAACTTTTAAAAAAAATTTAAAAGATAATTTCCCTTTTCTCCAAAAATGAAAGCAAAAATAAACAAATGTAATATCCTATAGTAATTAAAATAATCAAAACAGAAATTAAAAATACTAATGCTTAATTTTTTATAAGAGTCCTAACAGCTCGTTTTGGGGCAGGAAAGGTGATATATCTTGAGGGTTTTTGTTTTGTTTTAGATTAGATTAGAAGCTCATGATGTTACAACTATGATTAGTGACCTTGAGCATTTTTTCTTGTCTACTGGCCACCTGTATGCCCTTTTAGAGAAGTGTCTATTCAGGTCCTTAGCCCATTTTTTAAATAAACATTTTTGAATGTTTGTATTGATTTCCAGAAAGAAAAGAAGAGGTAGAGAGAGAAACATTGGTGTGAGAGCATAACATTGATCACGCCCCCCCAACACCACAACCACCAGGGGAGATTCTGAAACCTTTGATGCCTGGGACTCCAGCAGCCTCCATCCCACTCAGCCACAGTCCCTGCTGGCTTTCACAGCCAGAAGCATGGGGAATTCTCTTCTTGGCACTGGGTTGGGGGCTTAGTGTGGAGCTTGGACCCCTCACTTCAGAGGGAAACCTCCACAGCCCAGTATCTCTCTTGATATTTCTCTGCCAGACTTGGGTGTGGGACCAGCCTTCCCGTGTCTCCACCCCTCCTACCGGTCTTGATGTGGCTTCTTCTTGAACTTCACGGTGGCAGGACTTCCACTTAGCTCAGTTTCAGGTGGTTCTGAATGATGGTTGTTCTGTAGTTTAGTTGTCATTGTGATGTGGTTGTGGGAAAAGGTGAGTACTATGTTTACCTACACCACCATCTTGCCTGGAAGTCCTTCATTTTTCTTTTGTTTCCTTTGCCCAAGAAGATATATCAGAAAAAAAATACTGCTACAAGTAATGTCCGAGATTTTACTGCCTGTTTTCTTCTAGGATTTTTATGGTTTCAAATTTAACATTCAAGTCTTTAGTACATTCTTTTTCTTTTATACATTTTGAGTTTATTCTTGTGTGTGGTGTAAGAAGGTGACCTAGCCTTGGCTGGTTTGCTCAGTGGTTAGAGTGTCAGCCCTCGGACCAAAGGTTCTCGGGTTCAATTCCCAGTTAAGGGCACGTACCTTGGTTGTAGGATCCCCAACCCTGATTGGGGTGCATGCAGGAGGCAACCAATTGATCTTTCTCTCTCCTCCACCCCGCTTCCTCTCTCTCTAGAAATCAATGGAAAAATATCCTCGGGTCAGGATTAAAAAATAAAAAGGTGGTCTAGTTTCATTTTTTTTGCATATATCTATCTAATTTTTCCCAACACCATATATTGAATAGACTATCTCTGAACCCACAACCCTGTCATGTACCCTGACCAGGTATTAAACTGGCAACCTTTTGGTGCATGGGACAACGCCCAACCGACTGAGTCACACCAGCCAGGGCAATATGGACATTTTTTTTGTTGTTGTTGTTAATCCTCACCAGAGGATGTTTTTCCATTGATTTTTAGAGAGAATGGAAG